TCGAGCGATTTTGCTTTCATTCAGAGATATAGCCGATTTTCTGAAGTTACATCACTTTCTAGGCAGCGCTTATTTAAATAGACTACATCTCTATCAATCAGTCTATGCACTACTTTAGCAATATCCGGGTTTCAGGAAACTAATTTCGTTCAAGCCGCAGGGAAATTGCCGGACCGGTTTTTCGTTTGTTCCTGACGTAGGAATAGTACGTTCTTGTGTCCACGAGGCGGGTGGGGGGAGGAGGAGGGTAATGGCGACCTGCCAGATCATCAAAAGGTTTAATGGAGTACCCGGACGTGAGAACCACTTCTCTGTATTGTTTCAAAAGTATTCATCTTCAACCGATATGTAAATCGTCCGAAAATGACCGCAGAAATTGTGATTAAGTTAGACTGTTGTTTTTGTGAATATTTGAAATTTCAGTGAATTGTTATATGAAGAGAAGTACACGGAAGAGGACAAATCCTCCCTAAAAACGCAGTTCATCGAAAAAATGTTCTAATTTTAGTGGGCGAAATTTTCGAGTATTACTATTCGCCTCTTCAGATGTACCTTTGCATAATTACTTTCTTAAAGGTAAAACGTTAAGCCGAGAGCGGAAAATTCGATCGAAACATCGGATAAAATCAGACGAGGTTTGAAATACTGCTGTTCCTATTGATTTATGGGCAATGTTTTAATAGAATTCTTCTGATTGCGAATCCGTTCTATCGATAAGGTATAAGTGACTGGTAGTAATCGCATGGAATAGGAACAATCCAATATTCATATCGGATGCTGGGTCCCAACTCAAGTATAGAGCCAGATTCATCATCAAATTTCCATTTATTTCCTGTGTTATAACGCCAAAAAATAAGATTGATCTCGAAAGTTGTTTTTAATCAATCTTTTGACCAAATTTAATCAATTACGTTTCTTAATCAATAAAGTCTTTATCGTTCAATACTTCTTAGTCTCCAATCGCTAAAGCGACGACAATTCCAGAGAACGATAAGTTAGCACGAAAGCTTACACATGTAAGTGCTTTGTACTCAAAGTATTTGTACTTCATCAGAACACTAACGAACTTCTTTTGAAAGACATTTTAAGTTGAGATCTGTCAAAGGATAGAAAACTTTTGGTGGAGAGCAGACGTAATTTCGAGAATTGCCGAATGTAACTACTCGTGTCTGATCCAAAAGATTATGCTCGATAAATCCAAATTGTGGAGTTGCAATCCAGAAGGAACTGGATTCTGGATCCATTATCACTTCACTTCAGATTTCATCCAAAGAGGCCGGTGGTATGGGACGATCGCTGAACGATGAGCCATATTATCATGGGTTCATGTCGGCTGAAGAGTGTGAACCTTTATTGAAGAATAGTGGCGATTTTCTGGTGCGAAAGGTGCAGGTGGATGGTGAAGCAGAATACGCGATAACAGTGCGAGTTGATGCAAGCGTGGTGATGAGTTTCTTGATCAAACGCAGTAAATCTGTTCGTTTATACTATCGCTTTGCTGATCACCACCGTTAATACCACTATTATCCTTATCAATCTCATTATCATCGCTAAACGAACACAACTCTCAGCAAATCCTTATCGATAGTGAATGATAACAGTGTCGTTAATGTCGTCGATGACATGACTGACTCGTCGTACTTTTGATTTAAATTTCGACTG